CAACTCTACTGCAGTAGGGTGGATTTCCCTAATATCCAACGTATACAGGAATCAGAAGACCATGACTTTAGAGCTTTTACAAGAAGTATGCTAAGAAAAACAGCAATGCAAAATTGTGTGAGGAATTTGCTGTTTGCATGCTTAATCTAGGTTCTAATGCTATAATGCTAATATCTTGTGAGGTTTTAACAAAATGCTGCATTTACCTTGTTGGAGGTAAGGATGTAGGTGAATTTAAACGTTTTTAGAATATGCTCAGCTTCAGCAAAGTATCTACCTCATTTTCCCAAAATACCATTTTATTTGCTCTAGCTAGTGACAACAATTTGCCTTTCATTTTGAAAGAGTATTTAGGCATAGAGTGTGGGTAACTAGTATAAACTATTAGTAACCAATACAGAATATAAATAAACTAACAGTAGTAGTTTACTTGAATTTGTCACTTTAACTTGTCATATAATTGGAAAGTACCAATAATAAATTACTGCTGACGGAAGTCTATGCATGGACCTGCTTCTAGCGGATACATACTGTATTTAACACAGCATGTAAATAAGTGGAAAGTGGATAAGAAAAAGGATTGCTTTTATTTTTTAAGAATGCCACTTTCCAAGAACATTCCTATAAAAGATTTCCATAGTTGAATTTATCATAGATCAATGAAATCTCAGTTCCTCTTAATTTTGGTGAGTGACTTCTATTTTTCTTATGTGTGTTTTCATAAAAATTTTGAAACGTAAAGAGATTAAACTGGTTAAGTGTATTCTTTTCAGGGCATACCACTACCAGAGGAGCACTTTATAATCATTTGAACAGAATTGTATAAGACCCTTACTGATACAGTTTAAAGACTATGGTGTTATCTAATTTCCCCTTGGCCTGTATGCAAGTCATGCAGTCAAATATCTAATATGCAGGTAATGCAAATGATCAAGCTTATTGAAGGGTCAGCATAGTTATCAATGGCAGTTGTCCATAGAATCCTTAAAAATGAGCTGAAAACTTATCTTTTGATTTGAATGGTTCTCATCTCATTCTCATCTCTCTCCCTGAGAATGCTCTCAAGAGCATTGCTATTTTTAACTAAATAGTGGTTATGTTTTTCAGTTTACTTAGGCATCGAACCAAAGTTCATTGAAGTCCATATGAATTCCTCCACTTGCCTCAGCAATCTTTGAGTCATGCCCTTAATAAGCTGTTACATTTGCTGTCCAAACTAGAAGAAATTGCAGAATAAAAACTGGTGCGTGGCTGTAGAAGCCAAAATGGACTAGCAATAGCCTGAGGTCCAAATTCTGACTCCAGTCCAATCAGTGGAAGATACAAATACATCCCACAAGAAAACTTTGACTTCTGTTGCACAGGAAAAATATCCTCTAAAAGTGCATGTCAAGTTATGGAAAGGAACCTAACTGTGGTAAAAGCTTTTGGGCATTACAGGCTTCCCCACGCAACAATGTTAATGATGAGAGATGGGACAGGAAAGTGTGCTGTTAAGCAGTAAAACACCATTTAAGATTTTGGAGTGTTAGTGTTTATCATTAGGCAACCATTGGCTCATCTTTGAAGTAAAAAAATGTTTTTGATCTTTGTTTTGAAGATCATTTATTCATCATGCTAGAACAATGATGTTAATACTGCGGAAATTTTGGAAGACCTTTCTTGATATAAAAGAAAGATGGTAATGGAAGGAACAACTAAGAAACCCTATATGAAAAACTTTGAAAATATCATTGAGATAGAAAGCCAAATAGTCTAAAACTTAGTAAATAAAGTGTATGGAAATTTTTCAACAAGAGAAAACAATTGTGCAACAGTCGAAACAGTTCTAGTGGTTTATGACTGCAGTTAATACTCCTACCTATTTGGTATACGTTTTTTCCAATGTGCATCAGATGTGATAACGTATAAGAAGGATAACAATCTTGACTGTGATTGTTGGAACTGTTTGATGAGGTATCATGCAGACAAACCCTTGTTTACATTTTAGACAATTCAGTAGCAGAGGTGCCTTTGTATTAAGTCATGGTTAGTTATGTCATGTGTCTGAGATTAGCTTTTTTGTGGTGGAAAATTCTCAAAAGTGCTCAGCTTGTAGCGCTTGCTCAGAGTTGGGCAAGAGAGGTTGGTGCTGCTCACTCATGAGAATCTCATCTGCATGATTTTTTGGTTGACTTTATGGTCAAGGTGATGGAGCTGTTTCTTTGAAGAGCTTTCAAACATGATTCCCCAGTTATTCTGAAGATTACCACTGAAAGCTCTTCAATATAATTTTCAGTCACTGCAGGGCAAGAGCCCCCTGGCAAGCGTAGGTTAGGTGAAAATTGCTGCTATGATGCTTTGCAGATGCATCCAGACAGAATTTCAGCACAAATTTCTGACAGCTTTTTGTAAAGCAGCAGGACCCTAAAGGGTGCCCGGTACATCATCAAGGACATTTGAAGTTCAGCCTTATCAAAGGGAAAAGTTAAGCTGTGAGGACTGCTCTTTCCCCTGGGTGTCTGCGTTGTGTGGAATGCAGAGCCAGAAATGGTGATCAAAGTGAAGATGTGTAAACCATGAATGCGGGCCCTGCTTTTCAACCCAACTTATCAAAGAGGAAGGTACTTATTAGTACAGAAGTGAGAAGGGAGTGTTGTTGGCCTGCAGTCATTATTATCTGAATTTTTGCATGGGAATAGATGGAGAGAAGCACAGAAAATCTTGCTTCAAACACAGTCTTAAGCAGTAGTTATTTCATAATTTCCTTCACACAATCAATTCACATTCTTTACAAGTAGCACTTTCTATTTTTTTTTTTCTTTTTTTTTTTTCTCTGCCAATGGAAAACAGAAGCAAATGGTTTGTTTTCCTGTATAACTTTGGCATCTTCCACAGTTCATGAGAAGCATAAGATTTTCTTTTCAGAGATGTGTTGAATGCTAGCTTGCACATAGCTCAGGAGAGGCACGTTTTTCCACTGATACCTAACATGTTGTATGCTGCTTTATAGTGCATGTTGTCACTGATGCCTATGGATGATGATTTACTCAGAGTTGCTCAGTTTACCAGGCAAGTGCATGCACCATTGACAAGTCTCATTGTAATTAAAAGTGGGCATAGAATACGAAAGCCAAAGGTCACTATGAAATAATTGTGATTTTTTTTTCATTCTTATAAATACTAATTTAATAACTTAATGCAAAATTCTGACCTAATTTCTTGAATATTTACCAAATTTACCAAATAAATATTTCACATGTAGGATAATTAGCAAAAAAGTAGTCAAAGGACATGTCATGAAAAATACACCTTTTTTGTTTCCTACCTGCTATTTTCATGACAATTTTTAGCAGATGTTGTTGGGCGTGTTTTTTTTTTTTTTTGTCTTTAAATCTTGCAAGCAGAAGTGCTTGTATAATATACCCAAGGGAGGCATTTTGCAGGGAAGTGAGGTGAGAGAAAAGGCTGGCATGGAAGGAGAGGTGGGAAGAGTCCTGGCTGCTGGGTAGTCTGGACATGGGTTTCATAAACTTTAATGGCAAATGATTAGCACTTTTATCAGCCAAGTTGACAGATTCCACAGCTTTCACCAAGGTATTTTGCTGCTTTTGCTGTTCAGTCTTTCTGCTGGCTGTTGAACTGTTGGTGAGATGAAATAGCAGGCAACCCTTCTTGAGACAGGAGAAGTCTTGTCATTCCTCCTCCAGTGCCTTCATCACTTAGCTCATGGTCTTCATTGTCCTGCACCTTTTCCCCCTCCGCTGCGGTAGAAATGCTAGTAAGTGCTGATCCAGCTGCGAGGTGCGGTGGGTGCCAAACCCCGCTTCTCTCCTCCCTCCCCATTCCCACGTCAGTTCCCTTCCGGCCTCCCTGGAAGCTGTCTGCAGGAGCACTGGTTATGTCATTGCACTCTCTGCTTCATTCATTTTAATCTCACCTATCTACGTTAGGTCACTCCCTGCTCTTCCTGGCTGAGAGTGGCCGAGTGGAGCTCGCCCGGCTCGGAGATGGTGCGGCCTACGCGTGCGGCCTACGCCTGCGGCCTACGCCTGCGGCCTGCCCCGCTTCGCTTTTGGTGGAACCCGTGTCGTCCGCACGCAAATTCCTTTATTTCTTACACGTAAAGCACTGCACTTTTAACACATGCCTCTAACAAATGCAGCAATAAGCAAAATAGCAATGGCAGGTGCTCCAGTTGCCTTGTGTTTTATACAGCATGCCGTGGTGGTGTATGTTTTATATTTCCACATCAGGAAATTAGCTTCCAGGCGATGGTGTTGCAAAGTAGCCTTACCCCAGCACTACCGATGTGCTAGTCTAAGTCCTTGCTATATCTTTTTCATAGTTTATCCTTTGTGATTAGTAGCCATAAAATTACATTGCTTCACAAATGAATAGTGCCTGTACACAGTATTTAGAGTTACCAGGTTAATCAGAAAGCTGTGTAATATCTAGTCACATCTGTTTAAGCAACTACATGCCTTAGCTTCCCTTTGTTATTTTTTGATAGATAATTTTTTGTCCACAGATTTATGGATGTGGATGGATTTATTTATGGATAGATATGGATTTATTTATGGATGGAATGTGAAAATCACTTTTTAAAAAATTTCCAGAAGTATTTATTTTTAATCAATTAAGCAAAGCTTCCTTAAATGTGCTGAAGACTTTTTAAAATAATGTCAGATAATTTGATGAATTTAAGTGTTTTTCCAATTAATAATAGAACCAACAGATTGTAATGTACTGAAAGTCTAGCTTGGGTTACTATGTAGTTTTTATCTGTAAATTGGAAAATGGTTCTCTGTATTTAACAGCCAAGGATTTTCCCAGCTTTGAGTGAACTTTTGAGTGAGCCTTTGAATTGGGCTAAATGAATAAACTGACTTAAGGAAAATGTGCTGTCTGCACCTGCAGAAGAAGCTGTAGCTGCCAAAAGATGGCTGAATACTTCAAAAAAAAGACGTGGATTTCTAAGAGAGGCAGTGATTTCGCCCAGTTCAGTACTTTGATGTTCCCTAAAAGTTCAGTAGAAAATGCATAGTAAGGCAAATTATAGTGAAATTTAGGCCTTTAAAAATGATCATAATCTCAATATGAAATTTTAATAAGCAAAAAATCCAACTTCAGTAAAACCACTTGTTGACGGAGCTAGTTTTAATACCCGATTTTCATTCATGTTCTTGTCTCTGCAATCAGCACAGGCTTTTCATATGATTTCCTCTGTGTAGGTAATGAAGTCAGATGCCAACAGAGTTATTCATTTAAAAGAAGAAAAAGATAAGCCAGACAGGGAAGCACACGCTCAGTAAGTCACTCAGGCTGGAGGGTGTCTATCCAAGTTTTCTGAAAGAATGTCAGAAGGAAGCAATACAATATGTAACTTATTAAAAGCAGTTGCTTCAGGAAAGAAATTGATAGGGTATAAGTAGCTTGTGTTTGATTATGAATCTTACTCCTCTGCTGTTGAAGACAGAAATATATGGTTTGTCTTCTTGTATGAAATATAAGAGTCTAAATATTATCCGAAAGACAGCCACCACCAGAGGTTTGTGAATGCTTCTTATCTTGCTGTATGCTCTTTAAGGTCTTGGAAAATTTGGTAGGGTAGAGAACCAACCTCTTCTGTGTCTGAAGCCTGGTGATGGTGCAGAAGAAAACTCATTACTCCACAGACCAGTCCTTCTGCCTGGCCTTCCTCTCTGCTGCGCCAGGGGTGGCAAGTTCCACTTGTGTCTTACCAAACCGGAACCACATAAGTTTGGGAATTGGGCATTGGGTCAAAACGCACCTGCAGGGAGCCTGCAGAGGCTGGGAGACATCACATGTTTGCCCTTTGAGCAAAATAAATAAATACCAGAACAAGCTGAAAAATAGGGTTGAATTATATGGGAGATATGGGTGAAATATTTTCTATTAGTAGTGATGATGTAGTAGAAATAGAAATAAAAGTGCTATATTTCACAGTTGGACACTTCAAAGGATACTTCTTTCCCAGTAATCCTCTGATCTGCTTCATGTCACAGGTCACTTGCGCAGTATTTACAAACCGCCTGGCTGGAGTAGTTGTTCAGGATTTAAGGTGTTGCAACTTTTTGACATCAAAAGTTTGAGTGCACTGATATTTCTCTGAGAAGTATTTCATAGTTAATTTTCAGTTAGACTCATGTTTATGGATATGTCTACTCAGAATTGATTTGAAACTTCCCTGGGGAGGGGGAAAAGTTCTCTCCTGATAGCAGTGCGATAAGGTTAGATGTGCCTGGTAGTCGGCCGCGTGCTACTTTGAACACGGGCAAAGAAGGAAGAACCAAGTGGGAATCAAAGCCTTGGCTTAAGGATTGACCTGTGTGTGACTGAGAAATTTGTGAGAGCTCTAGGTTCCTGTTTTTCTGTGCAAAAAAAATGTAAATATAAATATTCTCCTGCATACTGTTTTCTCACCTTTTAGAGTGAAATACTCGAATAGCACTCTGTTCATAACTGCTGTTTTAATTTTGAAGGTTGGCTGAAAATCATCCTGGGAGCCTGACATTTAGCATGTACTACTATATGCACATGGAGTGTATATGCGTCTAGCACTCAGGCAGTGATGGATTCTTGCCTCTAAAGTTGATGTCATCCAAAGTAGCCCTTTTCCTCCCCTCCATGTCATGAAGATTTGGGAATTTAGTACTGATCAGACAACTGCTAGTTGCCTCAGTTAGATGGGCTCTATCCTTTAGTCTTTCTGTAGCATAAATTTATTTCTAATCGTCTTATTACTCCAAGAAAAGGACAGCTTAAACTGACTCCTGCAAGTCCTTATGCAGCTTCTTGCAAGCCCTTCAATATCAATGTTAGGCTCAATGGCAGATATTGAAACAATATTGAAACAATTTGTTTCATGTTTTTCTTCACTTTCTTTTTTTTTCCAAGAAAGGGGAGCTTATTCAGATTATTGCTGTTGCTCCCAGGAGAAAGGACTGAGATCCTAGGATCATAGTTGAAATAAAACTCCAAATATTTGTTCTTGCAGAGGCAGGACTGCATAGGTCCTTTGTCCATGAATGATTTGAAGGGAGGATATTTTTTCAAATCTGTTTAATTAAGATGCCTCTTCAGTTCTCTCTGTCCTTCATTTCAATAGTTTTTCAGAGGCTTTCAGACCAGAACTGCACAGGGCTCTATTTCAAGTGCCCTGTAAAGACCTGATAATATAGCCTCTGTGGCCGTGGCACAGGCTCTTCCTTATATAGCTTTTGAACAGAATACGCTTGTTCTGCAACAGATCTGGTGTTGTGTGTTACTGATAACTATTCTCAAGCCTGTATAAATGACATTTCCAGAAACTTTCTTCCTCCCTGATAACAATCTGGTAGTTTATACCACTTTCCAGAAGTGTATATTTCTGTTTAGATTTTAAGATGCATTTAGTATTTAGTATGGTCGAGGTAGTAATTCTTTCAGTATCTGCCAGCTAGATCAGTTTTGAGAAGAGTCTCTTCAAAGCAAAGTCTGTTCAGAATTGCCTTATTTACGTGCAGTGTCTGTTCCACAGCAACGCAGTCAAAGAAACGAAGCATCAGTTCCTGTTGACTAAAAAAGAAAGGGTTTCAGAAAACAGGTATGATTTAGAAAGCCATTTATGAGGACTCTGTTTCGAGCAGCTGTGTACTTGTACGCCTTTCATACCGTATGTTTAGGGCTTTGTTTTTTGAACAAAGCGCTGACAGATGTGGAGATGACAGTGGGTTGTGTGAGAAGGGATTTGCTGGGTCCCAGGGAGGTTTTTAGTGCAACTCTTCAAGGACGGCTCTCAGGGCAGTTGTATCATCCCACTAATGGCTTTGGCAGGAGTGTCCGTATAGTTTGCTGATGACCCAAAGATGTCAGTACAGAGGAGGCTGAACTGTCATGCAGGCAGGAACTGGACAATGTCAAGATTAACTGAACTAGAGCAGGATTTTTTAGGCCAAAATATACAGTGGGACTAATAATGAGATTTTGTTGACTGAGGATGAAGTGCCACCCTCAAGAAAGGTTTGTTGTAGCAGAAACGAGTTTAGAAAAGATCTCGTGGGATGCTAAGAGAAGTAAAAAGGAGTAGGGATCTTCCAGGATGGAGACGAATGCTTTGTAAGAGCAAGTAGAGAGCAGAGGAGTATTTATTGTGGGGAGACTCAGTAGTTTGAAGTGCATACCATAGCAAAATGAAAGTGAAGAGAGGAAATGTTTGCTCTGTCTGTATGTTTGTGAAGCAAAGAACAAGCAGTGGTGTTGACTGCTTGTACCTGAGGACAATATTAGTATAAAACCAATAGCATAAATTTGTTTGTTAATAATTTGAGAAGATAGTAGGAGGCATCTAATTGTGGAGTAGTGCAATTCTAGGAAGGACAGAGGGAGCAAAAATCCCCCTCCCAACCCTTTCTTCCAACAGCCCAATCAGTAGCATGGTGCAACGCGGTGACTTGCAAAAGCAAGAGACTTCCGTAGCAAGGGCATGACTTCATTGCCATGCAAGACGTTTCCATTCCTTTTTTTGCTTTAAGTTAGCTGATAGGTACTAGAACAGTGAACACGTGGTATTGGGGTTTACAAGAGCTATAATGTCTCTCCTGCCATCTCTTCCAGACTGGAGAAAACAACTCCAAGTGCAGAGCAGCCCTGCGTTTGGCTCCTGAAAGCAGGTGCTGCAGTTATGGCAGGTTCAGCTGTGGTCTTCTGGGATGGGGTCTGTTGGCACAGTGGATTCCCATCTCCTAATTCTTCATGTGATCTTTTAAAGTGCCAGTTTGCTATCTGAAAAAGCAGACACAAATCACATATTTGAATTTTAAAGTCTATCTTCTAGTTATATATTTTGTATATTGCCAAATATCAGTTTAAATGGTTTCAGGAGGCCTTTCACAGTAACAGATCTGAGCTTGATCATTGACACGTACCAATGCTTTACAAAATTACCCTACTCCAGGTCATGCTATTTCCTCTCCAAAAACATTGGACGTTCAATAAACAGGACAAATGTTTTCATTTCCTGCAATGCAACATGCACAGGAAGTCTGCAGAATTTGCAAAAGCAGCGTTGGGCTTCCCATTCAAATATTTGTTATTGGGGTCAAAAAGCAGGAAGCGCAACGTGCTTTGCGGCACTGCAGAAATAGCACCACTCAGGAGGATAAAAATCTGTGCCTTGCACCGTGCTCTAGGCTGCAGTAAAACAGCATAGAACCTCTGGAATAGAGACCAACTTCTCACAATAAAATCATTAAGCAGCTTCTCCTTCATAAATGTAAAGAAATGCATAGACAGTCCTGTAACTTACTGTTGACAATGTTAAATACAAAACCGCTTTTCATATGAATTTACTGAGAGATCATTTTACACATTCGGGTGATAATAGCATTTCCTTATGAAGCTGCTCCCCCACTTATCCACTACTATTTAATTAAAGCTACTCATTTTAATAAGCTTATGTTGCTTGATGTCTACCAAAAATTACTGTCCACTCAAAAAAAAAAATCTGTATTTTAGGAAGAGCTAAGTTCTCTTACTCCAGTTTGTCTGGAATCTGGTGCATATTTAATAACCGTTAATGCGCTGTGTGCTTTAAAAAGGACATCTAGCACTTTAAAAAGCGTCTAGCACGTTATTTCCGAGCACGTTATTTCTGGACAGCTTGCTTTAGTCCTTTCTGCATCTTTAAAACTTCCCATTGATTTAAAATATTTTTTCAAGATGAGAAGGGACTCCTAGTGTACATCACTTACTTCTTACAGAGTTTGTAGATTTTTTAGATCTTTATTACAAATGTATTTTAAAAGTTTACTCTTAAGGCGGTCAGGGTAGGATCCTTTCAGTGTGGGCACCTGCCCTGGCCTTGCATAGAGATTCTCCTGTTCATACCGTGCTCTCCCGTGGATTCAGGCCTTTTCGGTGCAGGTGGCGTTGCTCCACAGATTCAGCCATCGCTGCCTCCTCAGCAGCAGCTAGCGGTGCTTGTTGTAACACCCTCCCAAAGCTTGGAAGGCCTGGAAATGTGCCTAAACCCACTAGATCAGGCTGCAGCAGGAGCTGGCCAGGCCACCACCACCGCAGGCCACGTCCACCCTCGCTGCTGTCGTGGCAGAACGGCCGCTGGGAGGCTGCCTGAGCGCCCAAATCTGAAGGAGGCCTCAGCAGGCAGCGCGTGGCCTGGGGGCAGCACTGCGGCCGTGCACAGTTGTTCCAGCTCTCGCCACCATCGCCCTTCCCTCCTGTGCAGCAGGAACCGCGCGGAGCGTTGAGGCTGCCCGTGCTGCAGTGAGCACCCAAGAGCACCTCAGATTCCCTGCTGCGAAGCACGGGCACGCGCCTGTGCTGTGCGGCACCGCTCTGCAAGCGCCCGCGGCCTGCGCCCGTGGGAGGACCTTGGGCCACGCGGAGCAGGTTTGTTCCGTGCCGAGTAACAAGGGGAGTCACAGCTGAACGTGAAGGCAGGGGGAGCAGGGATGCCCAAGCCTGATACCCACGTCCGAACGGTTTAAGTCTGCAAATCTGTGGACTTTCTCCTCTTCAAATTACCCCTTACTAGCTTTGGCTGCATACCTAAGTTTAAATTTCTAGGAGGAAGCACAGATATAAATATTCTTTCATTTAATGAATATTTCCACAAATCTACAGTATTTTCCTAAATCGGTTCGCCACATATTTATCTTCTGAGGACATTCAAATAAAATTTCAAAGAGGCATCTATCTGAAGCATAGCTGCTGGAATTGTGAGCAGCTGGGTAGGTGAACTGCACAGGGTAAATAATATCCCAGGTCAGCAGGGGAGGTCGATTTGTAGAGAACTGGTGCATTTTTTAACTTTCAAGGTTGCTTTAGAGACTGCTGTGCAAGTCGACCCTCAAAATTATAAGACAGAAGAAACTAATAAATATTTTTATGAATGTAGGCATTAACAATATGAGTGGCTGCTGTAACATTTATGTGAGCAAGAATTAAACAGAAGGCATTTTTATAAGAAAGAGTTCAAGTTTCTGAATAGCCCATAAGAAAACTTAAGGTGGTTTGAAGCTTGGATTTGTTCTTTTTTGACTGAAACAATGTTCAGTTTGAAGTGAAGTTAAAACTTTCACTGAAATATTCCGCAGTGCAGGAAGTTGGGAAGGCTCCGTCGGCTCTGGAAATGCGTTGCCATGCAGCGGGGGCTGAGCCCGAATTTATGGAGAGGCTCCGCGCGCATCGCGCTCGGCTGCCAGACCTGGAGAGCCAGCAAGTGTCTAATGTAGATTTGTGCTGTAATAAATGTCAGATACAGAGGTGTTACTGAAACAAATTGCTAAAATATTAGGAGAAAAGGAGAATGTGCATCGAGTGGCAAAAGGCTAATGACTGACTGACTGACAGAGACCAGAGAGCATCAGAACATCTTATTTTTAAAATAAGAAAGGGGAATGGGGAAGGCATTTCGCGCACTACCCCAACCCAAAGCTAATAGCAAGTCTCTCCTTGCCTGATAAGGAGCTAGGGTTTCACCCACTGTGTGCAGTAGTCCAGTGTATTCTCCATTAATTTATTCTGTGTCAGTAATCCAGGAGCTAGGATGGTTTGTG